TTTTATTTGAACTCAATACACGGCTTTCCACTGCCTCGACCTTCCCAACAGACGTCAGCTGGTCCGCAGCGGAAACAGCGAGCAGTTTGTGCATGTCCTCCCCCATTCACAGTGGTGGGGTCAATCCTCTCGTTACAGTGACCCATATCTTGTTTGCAACACTAGCTCCTCCTTTTAGCCTATCTCTCTTCCTGTCAGTCTGCTCATGAACGAGTGCGCCAGTCTTTGGGGATTTGAAGTTCACTTCCCACAAAAAAAATTAAAATGCAGAAGCGTTGTCATTCTTCGGGCTGCAGAATTTACGTCTCTTATCTCCAAGTCGTAGCGCCAAATGTTCCGATAAAGATGAAGGTACTATTCTAAGTAACACGCATTCATTCTACATACAATTTGATGTATAATCCACAGAGAATAAATCAATTTAGTTTTATTATTTCTTCTTAATATACCATGTATCATTCTATTGATTTGGGGAATCCAATGTCTCTTTTCCCATTAGGACTGTAATTAATAAATACATATTAGTTACCTTATGGCTTCCAGTCTCTGCACATAGTATATTCATTTGTTTCCACAGTCTTGTCTCTTTTTGACCAATAAAAGATTTTATACTATTTTCTCCTTTTCTAATCCGATGTCCGCAAAAATAAACAGATCTAATGTCAGGCGTTCCTCCGACATCCTTTCTATCTAAAAATAAATAGCATAACAATAGCCTACATATGTAATTATTAGCACGTCTATATATGTTTATTTATAATACTTTTATGTGAAATGAAACATGGGCAATAAAAATTATGCGAATAAAATTATTTGTTAATTCAAAGATCTGTTGTTTGTAACATGTCTCCACATCCATATTTGTGGAAGATTCACTAACCAACCTTCCTTTCATCGCTGATCGACCAGTCACATAATTGCACTTCACAAACGAGTGGAAAAGTAGTAATAACGTTAAACACGAGCTACTTAGTTGAAAAAATTAGAGAAATTTTTCGAGATTTGCAAAAATACAAACGAACATATATATAGAAAAATGACGGGACAGTTGCCGGATATGAAATACTGCTCCAGAATGTCACCCCAAAGAATATACGTATAACATGCAGGGAGACTAAGCATGTAATTCATTGTCTTGCGTGTGTAAAGTCTTGGTACACTCAGAATCACGTTTTTCAAGAAGTGGAAATACCTTTATTGCCTTCCAGCGATGGGAAGTAGTTTTCACGGGAAGATACGTGATGTTTTACGCTGATATGGCTCTCATATATCAGGCCTAACCTACGTCCGTATTTATCACTATCCTTCCGCCTGCTTGCAACCCACAACTGCCGAGTGCGTTGCCAGTATAGCTGCCGATGTTTAACAACAATGAATGACGTCACATTTGCCTCGTTCAACCTGTGCACCCGGCATACAAAGTGCCTCTGACTTAATTTACGGTCACTGATGGCGTGCGCATTGAATTTAGTGAAAGTTGGTGATTTGGAAACAGTTGAAACTGACTATTCGTTTCATAAAATGCATTCTAGGTTACGACGTTTCAGAATGTAGTAAATATCTTCAGTTGTGCAACTTGTATTGGCACATGTTACTAAAATTTAGACATCTAGTGAATGCATGAAGACAAGAAGCGAAAGGTTTTTGTTTGACTGGCTAATCTGCAGCTTAATTCTCTGAAGGACAGTCGTACCTACATGTACCAACAACATTTCTATTCAAGAACTCCACGTTTGACCCACAATTTTTTTTTTGTGGGTTTCGGTTGTCGAAATAAGCAGCATTGTTTCGCAAAATGCGATTATGTAGTGTATTGGAGTGTGTGTGTGCTTTTGTAATATGCACCACGGTTCAAAGAGCAACTGATAAACAGGAAAGATAACTAAAATATGAACGTTAAAATGAGCCATTCTCAATACTCTTATGTTTCTCTGTTCAAAAAACACTCTTAAGCTGGATGTAGGGACACAGGAGACACGTAGTCCACCGTTGCACGTAAGCCTCTTGTAGCGAACGCCAAGGGAGACGACAGTAACACAGACTAGTCCCGTCATTTCAAGCGCAGTTACTTATTTCCTTTTAACAGTGTTACCTCTGTTACAAATTTATTTGTTCTTTTATACTGCCTACTTTACTGTTATTACATAAAATAAGTTGGCGTTTATTTAGTCCAAATGATGAATTGGATTGTCAAAATTATCCAGAATATTTTGATTATTTCTTACAAGCACAACTGTTGTATAAAAACAAACACTTCTTGTATGAGTCCAGGGAAGTGAAGCCGTTTGTGATACTCACATCAAGATGATCCTTTGGAAGTTTACCGTGTCCCCTTTACTTGAAGACAAATGTGACGACACTCCGCTTACTGCAGTGGCGCAATCAACACACGCGTCTCGTAGTTCAGGAGGAACTGAAGGTGTACCCCTAAGTTTCTCGTCGTGATTTCAATTTCGAAAGGTGGTCATAGTAGTGGTGGTAGTAATACAACAGCCGAGAAATGACTATTTTCTCTCACGCAGCAACGGACTGGTTTCAACTCTCACTTTTGAAATCACAGTCTATTGTTTGCCTACGTGTTCAGTTGGATGGGATTCAGCCACAGCTTTAATAGTCAACTCTAATCTACAAGCTTAACCTTCACTTCATGCCGTTTCAGACGAGACAAATATTGCAACTAAGCACATTTTCGTTTCCAGTCGGCGTCAAGGGTTGATGTTTGCACACCTCATAGTAACTGACCAAAAGTTCCAGGTTCATTCTCTTCACACCAAAAGCTTATTTTTGTCTTCAGTTAGACCATTATGGAAGAAAGTTGCCGTGGCCTGTTGTTCGGTATTATCACAGCATTTGTTTACAGGGACTAAGAAACCCCACAGAAAATCACAATTAGGATATCCGACCTCAGCGCTAAATTCGAAGCCCAAATTTTCCAAATACTAAGCGGGAATTCTAACCACTCAGTGACAACGATCGATCCTTACCTTCCTGCTTTATCAACAATTTAAAAATAATCTGTATAAAACACGGAAAGCAACTGAAAACGCAACCAAACAATAATCACGTAAATAAGACAACAATAAACAGACTGACAACAAAAAAGCTTTTGAGGAAACAATTGGCGTGGAACGGTGTCAGAATCTTCTGGCCCAATTCATTTCTCTGTTGGAAGAAAATGAAAGGGACTGCTGGTTTCATCATGATAAGGCGAAGGCCCACACTGCCACCAGAACTGCATGAGTTCTTTCGGCTATCGTGATCACCAGTCCTTATCCCGCCAGACTTCTGTGGGGATTTCTTAAAGAAAGAATTTATTCAAATAACCCACAGAGCTTGGAGAAACTTAAAAACAATACTGAACACACTGCTGCAAACACTGACCCAGAAACATTGCTTTAAGTCACACGAAACACATTAAGAGGTTTGGTGCTTGTCTTCGAAAAGGTGGGCGTTTTCAACATCTGATGTTCCGCTGTTATGTAAGTCCTTAATAGTTTTAAAAAATAACTCGTTTGACTTGTCATGCTGATGTCAGTAAAGTTTGCGTTTCAAAAGGAACATTCTATATTTAAGATTAAAAGAGGTCCTGGTGGCCGGTGGAATGATATAGGGACCTACCGATAAACAGGCAAAATATGACACAGCATTTCCTTAATGTACCCACCTCGAGAAATACAACCTTTGGGTAACGTGAGCTGCTGAACAAGCGTCGCTAAATAAACCGCAAATAAATAAATATTCTGCTCCACTGAAATAGTGCACTACAATCAGCAGTGGGGATACTCACTACAATTCATAAATAAATGCAGAATTTTCCCTTGCATTTTACGAAGTAGATCTACATACATTAGAAATGTATAGAATAAAAGTCACGGAGTTTCATAAGATATATAAATCAGCTATACACAATTTGTTCTGGGGCCCCACAAAATGGTCGCAAGAGGATTAACTCTTTAAAAATATAATAACCTTGATACTGTCTCTAATAATTGTTCATAATGAAATCGTTAAGTGTCTAGGTTGTGATTTTTGTGAAAGTTCCTGTTATTCCACTGCGTTTCAAACTACGTCTTCACATATTGAGCCAGTCCGTCACTGTTAGTTTCTTCATCGCATTGACCTACAAAGTAAGTGACGAGAGGAAAGGAAAAGTTAGCTTGTACAATCTTGCAGACAGGATAGTCCTCCCCCATTTCGGCGTGCACTGGATACAGCCAGCACTGAAGCCCTCTCGGACAAACTTTCACCCGCAATGAGTCAGACGTCGTCCTGTCAAACTAGCCAAAAGGATACAGCTCATCTGATGTTACCATTCCAAGAACACTTCCTTGCCCTCGCGGACCAGAAAGATTAATATAAGAGTTTAGAAACCTAATCTAACTTTCCACTCCAAACAAACGAAAATTAAATCGTCAAGAGAACGTACTAACAAATCAGTTTGTCTTCTGAGTAGAATAAACCAAGAATTAACGCATATCTTCTATTTAATTTGTTCTTATTCATGTCGACTGTCGTGTTAGATCGGCAGTTCAAATCCCGAAACTTCGTTATTCCTGTCATAAAGGTCCACTCTCCCAAAAGTGTATTATAAAGGTGCACAAGGTTCGTTCCATTCTTCATAACTCTGTGACTGCCAACAGTTTTCTCGAAGTTTCATAGGCTGGGTAGGTTATAGACATTAAAACGTCTTAAAATGTGACAAACTGTACCATGTTAATGATAAGAAAACAGGTTATGAAACACGCAGAATACACATTACATAGCTACCACATGTGTAAAGAAAATGTCTTTTTCCTGTTCATCTTGTAGTCATTTGACCATTCAAAAACAAACTTTCCATGTATTATTTCCAATATCCCATCACTACATCAGAAGTAAATAAGTAAAATGAATTAGGCAGAAATCCTGGCCACAAAGTGTTTTCATGCACCTGTATGCTTCACTCCAAAGAGCAGGAAAAAGAATATGCAAGGGCTCACATCTGACAAATGCGTCAAAATTAAAAATATACCTATAGAGTTCTTTTATTCAGCAAATATGGGAACCATCTTCCCATATGGAACACATTTCATGGTCATTCACTAAGTAAAAGTATAAATATTATTACAAAGATAATTATTAATTATTTGATTTCATGTTACAAAGTTTATACATATATCATTTATATACAGAGTAAAATGAAGAGACTGGGCTATACATTCCCATTAAAATCATATTATGGAACAATTCTTCTTAACAGCCACTTAAAATATGCCGCCATCTAGAAATGTCTTTAATACAGAATATAAAATAAAACAATACATATTTACATCTAGTTTTAATAATAAAGACATTGAAACTTTCTGGTGGAGGCACTGATAAAAAGTCCATTATTCATCAACTGTAATGTTAATATACATAAAGCTTCTCATGGCATTCGGACAGAAAAAAAAAGCAATTAACAAGCACAGAGTTCCATTAACAAATTATAAACTTAATTCTGGTCCATTCATACATGACATTTCAAAACATTCCATCATTATTATGTAATATACTATATACATCTTTCAGTAAATGGAATGCCACAAATTGTGGAATGTACATTTTCATTAAAAAAGAGGCATTTGTTCCAAACTACTTTGCCCCGAAAGTACAAAATTTGAGCTAAACTCTTTATATTTTCTTAACCCCTTTATATATAGTAAATACACAATAAATATAACCATAAAAAAAGAGGTGACAATTATCAACCACTCCCTGGGAACATAATCCATCAGAGACTTTGGTTTAAAAAAGAAAGGGCGATCGATCCTCTGTCAGTCACATCACTAATGACGACAGAAACAGTTTTTCAAGGCGAGTGGTTTCAAAGCTTAAACAACCAATTATCGGACGTTACATGTCATGAACAGTATTTAAGAGTAACTAGATAAGCCAAGCATGTTTTATGACCCTTAATAATCTTGATAACTTGGCCAACAGATGAAATCAGAAATTAAAATTTCAACCACTTATAAGTTCATCCATCATATGAGTATAAATACATTAACAGGTTTTAGACTAGGTTGCACTGGACTATTTTAATCAGTTTCATTTCACAATGCTTTTCTGCATCAGTAGCTGCCTTAGTAAAGTGATACATACGACACATCACTGAAGGATCTAGCAGATTTCAACGCGTCAATGCAATATAACAAATTCAATCCCACTAAAATAACAAAGCAACTTTTCAACCTCCAGTTGCTGCAAAGGTCCTCCGTTGTTACAAAATTCCTATAATGAGCCCTCATTTTAAAGACTTCAAACAGCATTTCACTTATTACTCTGTTAGGATTATGTATTATCACAATCACTATCCCTTGTACAGTAATCAGCGACAACTTTGTTCATATACAAAACGTATTTGAAGCCAAGACAACAAATTACATATATATACAGTGGGAATACACTTTCAATTAAATGTTTTAATCTATACAGACATGCTAACCAGGACTGCAAGATATTAATGGGTATGTCCACTAGTACAGATTTCCTTTTCCAGATAAAGTCTGAAGTTTTCCACCAGTGCTATGTTTAAAGCATTTAACATAAAAAGGTAGCCTTGTACAAATCTGAATGTAAATTAATGACCCATGTACGTACAAAATTTCGCATTTATAGCTACACTGGTTCATTAGCTTTTGTAATCAAACTACAACCTACGTACTTGAATAACACACACCTTTCTTTCAAAAAGTGTTGCTTTGAAAGTCAGAGTGCATATTAAATTTTTGAGGATGTTCATGGTATTTTAAGTCCACACCAAAATCTACATGCTACACAGCAATGATCCAGTCTATAGTGAACTTTTCCCGCAATGTCTTTTGAGCAAGTGGCATGTGATATGTCAGCAGTTTTATTTTAAAATAGCAATGTGTAATGTAACAAAGGGCAGCAATGCTATACACTGTATGTTTTGAACACACGACATGATAGTACCTACAGTAGAAGGTGTGAATCCGCAAAGCTCACACCTTCACTACACAACATTTCAGATAGGGTAAATACTGCCTCATCTGAATAAATCAGAGGAGGCACATTATCATTTACAGATGACATCAGGCCTCATAGTAACTGACTGATACCACTCCTCCTCCCTTCCCCTTACAGAAATTCATTCACTAAATGTACACCAAGCTTGCAAATTCATGCCAGTACATTTCCATCCAATAGCTTCATGAAAGACTATAGCACGACAAAATAAAATACCTATAATTAAGTGGTCTAAACCTCAGCCTGAGATAACAGTGAAAGTATTCTTTATCAAAAGTTAATTTTATCAAGTTGTTATGTGTAACATAATGCAGGAAAGTTAACCACATTACATGAACTGACATACAAAATTTGAGATAAACTATAAAGACTGGCAAACGCTCCAATTTGGATAGCAGTGTGCCACCAGTCCACGTAATTGGAGGAATATAAAAGAAACGTTTAATGAGGTACATAACACAACAGTGGAATATCTGTAATAGTAATATACCTTAGCAATGTGGTACGGATTTAATAATATTGCATTTCCACTTCTAGACTAGGATTCACCGCTGACTGTACAAAATAAATACTTTAGCATTAGGAAATAAACTTTTCTAAAAAAATTACCTGAAGTCCATAATTATTGTAAAAATAAATACACTAACACACCAGAACAATAAGTAGCATATGCAATGTCATTAGCTAAGTCTTATGAAGTCTACCAAGAACCTGAGGCCATACTTCACATATCAAATGCTTTATTCTTGCTGCAAAGTGCAATACTGCGATGCCAATTTAAAATCATACTGATAGCACGATATACATCAACAATGTGTATATTGCCAACAGTGCTTACAAAGCATGATTACTTACTTATCTATTCAAAGCACTGTGATCTGTTTACACCTTTACTTACATGTATACTTCAAATTTTAAATCAATGTCTATTTTACATGTCAGAAAAATAAGGAAGTAGTGGTTTTGATACAATACCAAGTTTAAAGGAAATGCCAACTAATTCAAAATGTAAGAGGGGTTTCAAATACATTTGGATATGATGGGAACAGTCCACTTTTCTTAGAGAGAAAATTAGGCTAATAACAGACATAAATCTTCACCAAGCAAGTTCACCATAGGACAAAAATAATTTTATAAATTTCTCAAATGTTCTCTATGTTTTTGTGATCCTTTACACCATCATTTCTCATTTTGGACAACCCGCTCAGTTGAAATTTCTTAGCAAGATGAGATTTTATATGAAAATAACCTTAAAACATCTGTTAATTTTCCATTATTCTTTACTTCACAGCACACATTTCTGTTTGGTGTGGCTTGAGAATGCTCCTACAACAGTGTCACCGATCAAGTTATGTCATTCACACCATTAATGGTACATTAGTTCCCCTGTCTATTTCATAATAGGCAGTATATGCAATATGTCAAGGTAAAAAATAACTATTTCTGTATGTCAGCAGAGGCAGCATTCATTCATTCATCATTTTGATTTATGAAGTACTCCAGTGGTCCCAGGGAAGTGATGAAAGTGACTGCAACATAGCATTCGGCTAAGGACACCATTTTTAGTAAACACGTATGTGGTCAGCTGTGCACTGTGTATCTGCCATAGAGACATTTTTAAAATATAACTCTAATGTGACAAACATTCACATAGTAGTTTTACAACAGGATACATATAAAGGTTCTAAATCACACCACCATCAAGATCAGAGGACAGAAGTTTCAAACCACAGCGGCTACAACAAACAAAAAACCTGGAGGCAGTGTCAGGGCCACGCAGGCACAGAAAACACTGAAAGAGTATGAGTCACTAATCAGTCGCATATGGTGAAGGAGTTCTTGCTTCCAGATACATGCTACCATGATGATGACCTTGCTATTGTTTGGTTCCAACAAGACAGAGTGACAGCACATACTGCTTGGCAGTTGATGAACACAGAATAATTTCCCACTATGGCAACATTTCTTGGCTAGCCCATTTGCGCGATCTGTCAGCTTGTGGTTTCTTTTTAAGGAGCTACTTGAGAAACAAAGCATTTAAAATGTGTCTGGCAGATTTAAAAAATCAAAAACAGAGAATTTCTGAAGAAATTAATGCCATATCACCAGTCATGTTACTACTTGTAATGGAAAAAGTTATAATCTGGTAAGAAGTCATTTTGTTATTATGTTACTCAGTAACAGCAAACATTTCTTTCTCAATTCACATTACTCTGAATAAACTGTGGTTGACCAATGAATCTTTAAAAATGATGAACGCTGCCTATCCTGTATTTACTCCCAATTACTTGGACATACAACATTGAAATTACTTGCAGATTACAAAATGCTGTCAAACACCATTCCTACATGGACAGTGTTACTTGTTTAGTGTTTCCATTCACTATGTCAACATGCTAACAATATTCCACAATCTTTCACAAACACGTGTTTTGCTGGTGCTTGTTTTCATAATTTTGTATGCTTCTCAAATTGCATTAAATTGGCATCCTCCCTCTCCCAATGACCTCTTCTGTAAGATTGTAAAAAGTGTTCAAAATACAACACCTGTTACATTCATTGTACAACACACAAAGAAAAGCAAACATCTCTCCCTAGGAAACAGCAAATCCTGTATCCTGTGCAGGGAGGAGCTGTTGTCTTTAGGAATACTTTATGCTGGGCCACACTGTACATAAAATTATTCTTGGAAAGAAAATGTTTCAATAAAACAACATTTTTTGAAAATAATTATTAAAAAAATCTAAGGACCATAAACACTGAAATATAGTATTTCTTAACTGCTTTTCATTTCTGTTCTGTTTTTAATACACTTATGAAGTTTCTAAAGTGAGGGCTCCATATAAGCAGTTTAGCTACTGGCAGACTTATATTTATATGTAAATTTCTACATATGGCACATCCTGCAGGTGGCCTAGAACCATCTCTCTTCAATATACTGAAATTCATTATGTTGAGGTACTAAAGAATTAAAATTACAACCAGTTACCATAAATATCTTGCAAGTTACATTAACATGTAATGCTTCAGGAATGTTGGGTATTTGAATGGAATATTGCCAAATGGCCACTCATGCATGTAATTTCAGCTTCCAATCACAGACTTTCCTTTAGTATGTCATGCAGTTCTTAAGCGAGTGTTTAATAAGGATGACAAGATTTTCCATAACTGCCAAAGCTAGTTAGTGCATACAAGACACCTTCATTGTTCAGAAATGCATTATATTAACACTGTGCATAATTTGATTGCTTTAATGAGACAACTGTGCAAGGAAGCAAATTATATACAGCAGTAAGAAACAATATATAATAAAAAATGTCCCTATATGGCCAGTTTTGGCATTATTGAAAAGTTATTTTCAGCCAGATAATGAAAACTTCAATTACGTAACAATATAATCCTCCTGTGACTGTAGGTAACTTATGACAAAAAAGGCTAAATTGTAAAAAAGATGCTTTTCGAAATTCTATTAAGATCATGAAAAGCTGTCCAAATTTGAAATGCTCAGAGAACACTCAGATATCTTGTTCAGTAGCACAGATGACTCCAAAAGATTCAGAGGCCACTGATATTCTCATAAACTGGATGCATAACTTTAATGACTGTGTCACTGTCAATACTGGACAACACTAAATCTCACGTGACTAAAAACAGTTGAAGCTGCTGAGCAGCATAGAATAACATTAATCTGTTTGCCATCAGACAATACATGAACTTGGCAGACCTGGAATTGGCCACATTAGTGATACAGAGTCGGCAATATGACTAATTGTTAGTTTTTTAAAAACTGTAATTTTCAAAATAAAATAAATGCTGTACTCTCTCTTCTGACCTCTGTAAGTGCTTTCAGGGCTGTTCAACTTGACACTAGGATATTCAGTTTTTTCTTATGAAAACAACTTAATCTTCAGCTGATCTTATTAAAAGCAAGTACCTTACCTAAATGAAGCTAACGTAACTTGACATATTCATTAAAAGTAAATATTTTCAACTTTTTCTAACTTACTATAAAGCAAAATGTAAGATGTGATTCAAATTATTACAATTAATGCTTCCCTGAGGATATTCCATATGATGAAATATACATCAATAAAAAGACTACAAAACACCAGACTGATCCATTCAATACACAGTAAGTAAAAATACAACAAAATTCTTGGGTTAGCTTTATACTTTCCAACCAAAACCAAATTAGTGGTTGCATGGACTGACCAATATGCTGTCATAATACATGATGGAAACTGAGAAAGTAAAATCTGTTACATAAGAATGTAAAATCCTTTTAAGAATTACTCTAGATTGCTTTAAACACATATTAAAGAAAATAATATTAGAAAATTCTGAAGTCCAAAGACAAAATTCTATCTCTGTTAGTGAATCAAATTTTCTTCACTTTGACAATCACTGCCAATGTGTATGAAATTGATGGTGATGGTGTTATTCACTACCCTATTTGCTGTAATAAATTACATCATAGTTTAAAAATGAATATGCCATAAGAAGCAAATATTAAGACTGTATCCAGAAAAAGCAATAAAATTGATACCATTCAGAAAAAATTATTAAAGACCAAGACAGGCAGAGGAGAACTGCTCTGCTTACACAAATTCCTACTATAGTTAAATTATTTTAGTAACGAATCAATGCACGACATTTACTCAATAACATGCAGAATTTCACCTTTATGTCTTAATATGGCACACGATACTGTAAACAATGTTATTAATTCTAACACGGCCATGATACACATAACTGCCTCTGACTATGCTGTCTTTCTCAATTTACAAAGTAACCAGCTTTTGGTCAAGACTAACAAATTTCCTGCACCTCTCCTAGTGGAAAAATAAGAGAGAATTCCAGCAGCAGATTCAGATTACTTCTTGGCATCCACTGACAAAGTCAAAGTGCCAATTTTCCCCAAAACCTTCAGGGTGTGCAGCTAGTTTTATCTCAGCATATTTGGAAGCAAGAAAAGATTTAATTTTGACCAAAACATTTCTTACTATAACTTGACAGAAAGACATAATTTCAACGTGATGTGAAAGGGCAAGATATATGGACTTCTTTATATGGTCCTAAATCCAGACATGACAGGTTGTTGTTAAATCAAAAACCTGAGAGTAAAATTGTTACAATTAGACTATTAAAACAAGAGTGCATACGATGAACACCTGTAATTACTTCATGAATGTTTTTCACCATCCCTTTAAAAACCAGGGCAGGTTTACGCTATAAAATAATATTCATATGAAATTACTGTACTTCTACAAAGAAAATCCAACATTCAACTTCCTTCTACTACCAAGCAAAATCTTTTCAGTAAGAGAGATCTCACTCAGAAAATGTCACCAGACTAATTTTGGGCACACTTCCTCTTTACTTGATGAAAAGAGAAAAAGGCACATATTGAGACTGGAATGTAATGTACATTAATGACATACATGAATAAAATCTCTAACAGAGCTCATTTCCAGAACATGTACCCAGACTAATTTTGGGATACAAACACGATGAGAGATATGGAATGTAATGCACATTAAAGATGTTTATGTATATAATGTGTAAGCTGTGAAGTATACCAAAATTGTGTCTCTTGAAAAATTCATCTAATTAAAATGCAAAGTTAATTGGTTCAGAAATAAAAAACAAATTATTTTATAAAAAAAAATTAAAATCCTTTATTTTGTACAGGAATTAATGATTTAATGTAGAAGAAATTTAACATAAAAGACTGCTGACCTTGTGAGATTTCTGGTTCTCATGGCAGTGAGTATGGAGATGGCTGTCATGCACCTTCAACTTTAAGAGAAACAAATTCTAAGACATTTTAATAATAAGGTTAACTAGGCACTACCTGGAAGGAAACAGAACAAACAAAAAAGGAAATATAAGCACAGTATAACAATTCTGAGGTGTTCACAAAAATCTGACCTTTGTGAATGGCACCAGTGAGACATATTTGTCCAGGGTAAATGATCTATGGGTTGGGTATTGGGGCATATCTGGCCGGGTGATGAAGTTATCACATAGGATTTTCCTCATATAGGGATTACCAACTGTCAATTTTGCATGCAGGAACACAGGTAGGTCTTCATTTAAAGTGCCCATTACTGTTCAATTTTAATGTATATTGGAATGTTAACAGATTTTAGTAAAATTCCCTAATATCACATTTCATGTAAACCCTTAGTCATTCTCAAGCTGTTACGTGCAACTGGATGGACAGACAGACATGGTGAAGCAAGCAGGTAAATTTTGCAGCTTTTAGTTGTAAATGCAACTAAAAAGGAAAGACTGTCACCCTATTAAGAAGAGCATGAAAACACGATAGGACAGTTTCTAAACATAATATCTATGGATAATAGTCAATTTATAAACTGGATTTCTACAATGCACTACTCAGCAAGATGGATGGCTAAGAAACCATGAGCCATTTTGCTGGATAGTCATAATGAAGTCCATTAAGAGTATTACTGTTTGATGAGCAATGGATCAGTTAAGACAATATTTGTATATAATTTATCTTTCGACCATCACCACCAATTTTATGCATATTACAAGAATGATAGTCACACTATTCCACATGTCTGCACACAGGGCTCCAGAAATATACTTGCCACTTAAAAACCTTCACTTGCCTGTATCTTTCAGTATGCTTCAGTAAAATATTCTTAAAAGACACGTTCAAACACTCAATGTTTAATAAACATCTGATGTTTTCTAGGTGATTAAAACCAAGGATGTCTTCTGTGGTGATCAACCATGCCAAGAGAATAGAAAACCAGATGCAGTGACTACAGTTTGTGTCACAACACATCAATTCCACATGATGGAGACAGAAACAGTCTTGAAAATGTTGGATTTTCACTCTTTATTGATGAGATTAATCACCTGATAAAACATACATTAAAAATTACCAAAAGTGAACAAATAAAACTAATCACTCTGTGCACCTCACGTGATTAACCCATGAGTGCCAACCTCCATACCTTGTACATACCTTAGCGTGTCACATGACACTAGCATCTACATGTCATACAGACCAGGTATATGGATGGGGTTCAAATCTCCTCCATCCATAGGGCAAGCCACCATTTAAATGGCCATAGTCACTGAAATGTTATAAAACACATTTTTAATACCATTTGAATGATGGTAAAAAAAACATTCCCCACTGGTCTCAGTTAACTTACTGTGGAAAGTGGGTGAGCATATTTCAAGAGTCCTGTTTGCACATATTAGTAACTCAATAATACTGTCACAGCAAGATAGGAAACTTCAACTGTGAAAACATTTAGTACTTCTAGGCATACTTCCTCTGGATCCAATGGTCAATATTCAAGGAACAAATTTTGCACCCAAACAATTTCATGGCTTTACACACAGATTGTTTAATTTGGCCAGTATAGGCAAAGTCTGTCTAACAAGTGAATGCTCTTTGGCAATGTTTGGCAACCAAGAAAGCAATGTTTAGAGCTTTCAAATGCTGGTTGTTATAAGTGGCAGTCACAGGCATCTAGCACCAAATGGATTTGACAGTGCTTATCATCACACTTTGCTTGCACCACCTTTCAGCCTCGGTGATCCTGATGCTACCTCAGACGATGCAAGCATGAGTTTAAGCTGTCTAATGCTGCTTGCGTTCGATGGCGTTCATAATCCTGTAGGCTTTTTGTTGCCACCAGTTCCCTCAGTCTATGGTCCAATACATCTGCTTCATGGCGTTTCTCGGCAAGAATGTGACACAACCGGGAACACTGCTGTTTAAGAACAGCATGCTCCAAAGACTGTTCTGTAACATAATATTCCAACACAAACTTCAGCACCAAAATGTCAGAGTACCAAGCCTTATTAAATGTCAGTCTCAGAAACCATCTTCCCTTTTCTCTTATGGCCAAAAACAAATTTGCACTTTTAAATGCCTAAAGCCACCATTACAATATATCAGCATTATTTCTTTTACCATACTTCACCCTCATTTTTATTTTATTTAAACTATATACCTACCTTTTGCCTGTCATTATTCCTGATATTAGGCTTGGCCTGCCTGTTAGAGATAATATAAAACCAAATATTTCAACTTTTTAAAACTCTACATAGAGTCAGTTTAAAAGAGATTATGTTATACATATAAATATGTAATTCCCAGTGTTGATGTAATGATATCCATTATCACTAACCTTTAATAAGACATTTACATCTCATGTAAGAGAAATTATTATGCTCTTGTGACAAATGAAGGTTCAAGGGGAAAATAATATTTAGCTGTATATATTAAAAAATAAACTCAACACTACTTTACACTTTCTTTTATAAATGTTTTTGTGTTTATAAACATACATGCAAGCTCACGCGCGCACAAATTATTATATAATACTGAAATATAACTTGCCCCGAGCATATTTTTGGTAGGCCTCCATGACTCTTTCCAAGCCTGGCCACCTCACAGGTCTGTCATCATCATCATCATCATCATCATCATCATCATCATCATCATCATCATCATCATCATCATCATCATCATCATCATCATCATCATCATCATCATCATCATCATCATCATCATCATCATCATCATCATCATCATCATCATCATCATCATCATCATCATCATCATCATCATCATCATCATCATCATCATCATCATCATCATCATCATCATCATCATCATCATCATCATCATCATCATCATCATCATCATCATCATCATCATCATCATCATCATCATCACCACCATCTTGTTGTTCAGACAGCTCTACAGATGCCTCAGTTCCATCCATGTCAACTGCAAACCTCTTCACTCCGTTCTGCAATGTGGCCAGCTGATGAACAAGACCCGGTCTTGTTCCATTTTGTCCATTTGAAGGCAGGACAAGCAATGACTTCTCTGATGAAGTGGATGGACTTAGAGACCGTTTCAATCCACCCGCTAGCAAACGAGCCTTTCCACCATGCGAATCTGTTACCTAAATGCATGCTCATTTTTATCAGAAAAAAATATGACTGTTCAAAACAAGTGGTGAGATGATTTTAAGTATGCTGAGAATAAAGTGGAAAGGAATCTACCCAACAGCACATGGACTGTGTTTAGGACATTAGTGTTACCACTTAACTAACACTCTCTACAGGCAACCAAGGTCATAACATGACTTACTCAAAAGATAGCTAATCAGAACAAATAATTTGCTTTTGTTATAATATGGATATTTTAAATACTACACAATATATCAAAGTGCATCTAGTATGCTATTCACATCAGACAGTTCATGGTGAAAAAGTACCATTTGTTCTTCACACTCTATGGTCAGCAAAGAACACCATATCAGCCTGTCCATACAGACACATTTATCCTAGGAGGTAGGCAATCTACATGGTGGGGTCAATGCTATGTAGCAATGACTTTCCAGTGTTTATACAGTCGTTACTTAGCCAAGCAACAGAGGTCTGTGAGGACATATATATGAGGTACCAACATCAACTAATTCTCCTACATTAAATAGAATTTTAATAATGTTATATTAACAACAGTGCACACAATTTCAGGTTATACTGGTGAGTGTGTTATACGGCATACCCATGTTCCATAATTTGGTTATCAAAATAAAACAACACAACATTTTTGATATTAAGAACTGTCATATAACAAACTTTTATTAGTGTGCTCTCTTAAGTAACAGGTCGACACCGTATGTAACATCTACAATTTTTGTTTTGTAGTTTACTCACCACAGTGCAGATTAATTTCTTTTCACCAGAAGAAGCCAAACTGGAAGGAATGTTGTTAGTACTGTCTGTGGCATTCTCTTCAGTACTGTTAACCCTAACACCTGGTTTTAAAGTCTGACTGCAATAAACTACCATCGGATTGAGGGAGTTTCGACGCAACCTCTCTGCTAGCACATTCTGCCATACAGCTTCTCCTTCTGCAATAAAAATGTTTGTGGTCAGTAAATTCTCATTCACTCATATGGTATTTAGCTTAGAAATTACCAGTACATTACCACTTCAAGAGTTTCCAACACTAAACGAAAATGACCGTTTCAGATTTCATTAACACATTCACTCTCGCATCCAAGTTTGGTCATTTACCAGTGTTTTTCACAGATTGCCAAATCTGACTGAGGTCAGATAATAACATACTATGAAAAGACATAAGAAAGTCACTTTCACAACACATTCTGAGCACATTACCATGATATTACCCTATCACTAAACAGTACAAGCAGGTACATTTTATGATTCCTTGAACATATGTAGATCATTTGCCATTAATTTCCTACCATGTAATACGGCAAAATGTTACTTAAATGGCTGGTATAACATGTAAGCCAGTAAAACAGCACATATCAGTGACTTATAAGTTCTATTTGAAATAATTAGTCAGGTTTGATTTTGCTGCTCTTTACATTGATGATTATCATTAATCCTATCCAAATGTGTGATCTAAACAATATTTTGTAGTAAATTAAAAACTTTAAAGTGTGAAGTAAATTTTATGCTGACCCAAAATTATTTTTTATCATCCTCATAAAAAATCCATATAAATTTACCTTCTCGCTCCTTCTTAGAGACAGACTCCAAACAAAGGTTACGAAGAAAACGCTGCTTTCCTTTAAAGTCTGGTGTTCTGCAGAGTACATCAGGATTTCCACATGGAAGAGGCAAATCTAATGGCAATGGTGGACTCATGGTGTCAGCTGAAGGAGGGCTGTCATACTGCAGTGGAAGTGAAGGACTCCGGGCACGACAACGTTCCAATTTGCGCAGCTCATATTCTGTGAATCGAATTAAATGAATACACAAAATAAATATTTCAATGCATCAAAATCAGAAGGTTCTTATTGTGTGATTACAGAGTGATGTCCGAGCATCTAATGACTGTTACTCTTACCCAATACTGTATTAAGGTAAGACTGCCACTCCCAACATAAAATCACTTCTAAATTTTATTTTACATAGGCTAGGGAAATAAATAAGGAATGCCACCTACACAACAGCATAAAGAAATAAGAATACAACAAATTCTGTTTCAGACATGACATGGGGGAAGAAAATATCACTCAATGACAATAATGAGAACTTGCACCAAGTTCCATAAATTCTAAATATACTGTTACAGAATTAAATTACTGCATTTTATAAAAGTAAAACATAGTAAAACTTGTTTGTATAACATATCTGATCAGTTCTAATTGTCCACTGTACGTAAGACATTAATAAGAGCTCTTTATTATTAGCCTATGGACTTGTCTTTGGGCAATAAATCAATCTAATCCTGCTTAATTGATAAGAAACTTTACTACCCTTCTGCAAGTTCAGAATTCAAATCTCACATTTCCTATTCCTACCCCTATAACTACTCATTCATCTAATTCCTCTATGCTAACTCACCATTCCTTACAGAAATTGTAGTTAGTCCAAACAATCGCAAGAACCTGAGTTTCCCAGGTGGGGCATCAAGCTGTGCAGGTGGGCCCTTAGTTATCCATATAGTAAGCAAGGTATCTGATCCTGCACCTCCATCTTCTCCATCTGAATCTGAGCCTAGATTGTTGTTGTTACTGCTGCTGATGCGAGATTTGCGTCTCTGTTCTGCCAGGTCTAATTTGCTGATCAGTGTTGTGTTGGCGTCAGCTTCACTCTGTATTAAAATACATGCAAATGTTCTTCTACATACAATTCCCATGCAATTTCAAACATCTGTGGACAGTAACAAATAATAAAAACGTTCATGAAGAAGTTAACAGCAGATCAAGTTTGGGGAACGTGTGTTATCGTTCTGTTCACAATATTTTATCTTCCAATCTCCTACCTAAAACCCAAGATTAAAATTTGGAGTATTGTTCTACTGGGTTATTATAGCATGAAGTCTTGTAGGTGGTTATCAGTGTTTCACAGGAATCTACTGCCTCAATCTTCAGAGTGTACATCATTAGCATACATTTCTTAAAACTGTGGAGGCCTGGGTTTGCACCCATGGCAGCCCACAGGGCACTTGTGGCGAACAAAGTGGTACATGAACAGGCTTTTCTCCGAGTTCCTCAGTTTACCCACAGTACCATTCCACTGCTGTTGCATATTCACTCATTTACCAACTTGAAGGCTGGACAGTCAGTCAACCCCCACCCTGCAGAAATAACAATATATTCCTCAAAGACTACACAGAATCATCGAGATGCTTGCTAATTTTGGTTAAGTAACCTGTGAGCAGTTTTTGTGTTTGTTAAATGTATGATGGACCGTCATTTTCACGGTGTGGATATACACACATAGACACATATCTCCGTTCATGACATTATCAAGCTGCTGTTACTAAAAAACCATAGCAAGTTTAAATGCAATCAGTTTTGGTACTCACACGGTGATTGGTTATACTGCGACTAAGGTAGTGGTAGTCCCACACAGACATATTTGTTGCTCCTTCCTTGTTTGTAGAAACAGCCGCTAAAACTTTAGCTGCATCTGGTACATTGAGAACAGCTGCCGGTACAGTACCTAAACCAGATACTGCCGGTCCATTTCTACTTGTTGAGGCCAATACTGTTGAGGAGTGATTTGACGCAACCAATGTCACTGCACTACTACAAGACGGTAGTGAACTGCACACAGGTGCAGGATTCATGATTGTTTGAAGCTGGCTAGCTGGTGTCAAAGGCCCTTGGTGGTGACTGCTCGAGTTCTGCGTTGCCTGATGCTGGACAGTTGAATTTGAAGTACCTTGTACAAGGGTTGTAGCTGGAAGCATGGTTCCATGATGCTGATTGGATAAAAGAAGTGGCACTGGATGCAACGAACTGTTCAAGTTCAATGAGTTTTGATGCTGACTGGATGGTGAATTCAATACGTGTACAGATGTCTGAGATGTACTTCCTTGCTGAGAAGATACACATGAGGGATGGAGTTGTGCAGTTGTCTGTGCCAATTGCACAGATTGATGAGGTGGCTGGATGGAACTAGCCGAAGAGGAAGGCAAAGAAGAATTGACCATGTGCTGATGTGACACTGGAATTTGTTGTTGTGACTGATTTGAAGGGTTAAGCGATGTTGCCGATTGTGTCTGCTGATGGTTCTGATGGCTTGAGCCTAAGGTATGTACAAAAGGATGCTGAACAGATGACTGCTGTTGACTTAGAAGTTGGGATGACTGATGCTGGCTTAGATTAGGTTGAGTAGGTTGCTGAAGATATGGAGATGACTGGTGAGAAATGCTGTTTGGTGACATTTGACTGGAGGAGGTGGAAGGTTGACCCAACATTTGACTGATTACAGGTTGCTGAAATGTTTGAAGCAGTGGCTGCTGTGAAGTCCCAACATGATCTACTGTACTTGTAGTAGTTGGGGATGATGCCATGGTTTGAGAATGACAGCTGCCATCTAGTTGACTACAGCCACGTGATGGGGATGTTGATGACAGCTTACGGGCTACTGCTGATGATCCTGTTGTGTTATCACTCTGATTCACTGTCATGACAGGTTTATTAAAGCACATAACACTCCCACAATTTTCTTTCACTGACTGTGTATTTCCTGAAGGTCCTCTGTGTTGATGTGACACGGCATTGCGCCCACCAGGAGTAACGCAAGCATCCTGACCACCAACAGCAGTAGTCTGCTGGGTGTTACAAGGACTTGTTCCAGCCTGCAGTCCACTTGGGTGATATGAAGATTGCTGAGAGTGTTGGATTTTGTTAATAGGATTACCATCACTTGGAGAGGGATTTGAATGAGAATTAGGTGGAGGAGGGATAATTGGTGAACGCCTGTTGCTGCCATGCTGTTGAGGGAAACTGTCCTCAAATGGGCGTACAAATCCAGAGGCAGGGGTGGTTGTATGTGTAGTAACAACCCCAGATTGGTCCTTGGTGCATGCAGAGGAACGTCCAGGAGTCAAATTACCACTATTTGTACGTTGTACAGATGTTGCCAGAGAGGTATGTTGCTGACTAGATGTATGATGGTACAAGGAAGCTGGAGGGGTAGTGGAAGAATGAACAGGAGGGTGGTGGACTGGTGGATTTTGTGATGGTGGAGTATGGGAGGTAAGAGTGTGAGAGGCTGGAGGAGTATGAGGATGATGTACAAGAGGATGGGATGGAGGAGTATGAGGATGGTGTGGAGGTGGTGCCAATGCATGAGAACTAGGTGGTGTGTGTGGATGATGGTGGTGATGAGTTCCTGGGGGTGTAAGTGGGTGGTGATGGGATGGTGGAGTATGTGGATGGTGAGGAACCAGAGGATGAGATGGAGGAGTGTGTGGATGCAGTCTGAGATGTGACGAGGATGACAGATTTTTACCTGCTGCATGTGGAGGTAGGAGGTCTGTTTCAACAGAACCTGCTTGTAGTTGATTTGGAGGAATAGGATGTAAAGGTGGAGGAAGGGTAACGGCAGTTGGGGTAGGAATAGAACCTGGTGCAATTAGAGGAGGAGGACCTCGTGGAGGGTCATTGCACACTCGATCTCGTGCTACTCCTATGGGCGCCTTCCTAGCTGGAACAAACACACAAAAACGGAACCGTGGTGAGGCTCCACTAACATATTATCTTTGGTACAACCTAAAGCATTTAGAAATCTTAAGTTACACCTTCTCAGTTACAATGGAGTACACAGATTTCTGTTTGAGCACCAGTCTTTAAAGTTAAGCTTAACGATGGCCCTCACCTGGCAGGTCCTGATGGTGACTGGGAGAAGCTCGTGGACTCCGCCGTGATTTTTCCCGTCTTTCTTTCTCCCGTTCTCTTTCACGTTCTCTCTCACGCTCTCTCTCTTGTTCACGTTCTTTTTCTTCATCCCTCAGCCTCTGAGTTTCCCGAGCTCTGTGTTCTTCCTCCAGTTTTAATCTGATAAAATCACAAGCAGGGAGACATGGAGGAATGTAAATTACTGAAACTGAAGTGAGCAAACAAAAAAATTATGGGGTTATTAATGTTTGAAATTGCTGCCAAATACTGTGGCAGCTTAAATAAATGCAATCACGTTAGTGGCTATAGCTTCATGATGCTGTACTAGATATAAAAATTACTCATAATATATTTACATAACAGATACATTTTGCTTGTGTAA